TATAGGGGCCCCCCGAATGATTTGATATGGGGCTCCGCCAATGCACGCTACGCCCCTGCAAATATGTGTTGCTATAATTTCATTATATTTCAATACAATGACCAAATAATTCTTAAAGAAATATACATTCTATTCATCAATTATCATTGGAGGTGATACAACTATAACACAATCTCCACGCACAAATAACATCGGAATACTTCTTTTAGTGGTCTGGTAGACTTCTTCATAAGTTTCTTCATCAATTTTAAGAGTTGTGACAGTTTCTTCCGCCTCTCCCAGTACCATATTGAGATGTTGATCAAAGGCATGAAGTCTTCCACGTAATTCTCTTTCATTCCGCATTTTAATGTAAATTCTTTCGTCTAAACTTAGTCTGATTAAATCCAGAGGCTCTTTTACAGTCATCGCCATAGCCTATTAAAATAATAAATTCATTACTTATTGCAAAACGGTCATTTATTTATTGACATACCTCAGAAAAAGTGGATGAATGTGTGTACATTTATGTATGTTAGGATACAATTTCTCCTCTACGATTACGGGCGCACGGATCAACCGATTTGAATAATTCAAAAAGCATTCAACTTCTATTGACTAGAAAGACGTGTTAATTAGTTTTTGTTTGGTTTTGAAGATATGGGGCAAAAAATGCAAAAATGACAATTTAGTTTATGAGAAAACGGAGCGACCGATTAGAGTGATTCAAAAAAGGATATTGCTTGTGTCGACAATGTTTGCTCATTTTGTTTTTGTAGAAAAACATATATAAAGTCGTAGACCAGATACAAGCACTTATATTATAAATTTCAAAATATTTAAAACAATTGCCATTACTATTATAGCCCACAGTATAGCTCTTGTCCAAAAGGACTTAAAAACATATAATAAGTTGTTTTAGTGATGTACTCGTATTGTAAATAACCTTTATTGATTGAGTTACAATTACAGGATATTGGATGGTGAATTTAATAGATCATTAGACTTATATAGAACACTTGAAAAATATTTGAGTTTATGAATAGAATCTAAGAAAGTTGAAAGAGAGTGGGTTAAGAACATTGAAAGGCTTGACAATGTTCTTTTCAAGACTGCCATAGTATTTCTGAATACTAACGATAAGAAACAATGTAATAGTTGTAAAATAGTGATATCCTAACATAAAAAAGATGTGTACTGCACATAATTAGCCGGAATATGCAAGATCGAACTTTACAAAAATGTTGCCAAATGTTGATAATTAAACATTTACTTTTCGCTTATTTTATTTTTTTATTGTTATTTTAAAATTATTAATAAATGTATACAAGTAACATGTATTTTTAGTTTAAATATTTATTAATAAACTTTAGTACAGTATGAATTTTATTAAAAAACGATATCGTTCTTCCGGTACTTCCTTTTTGAACAGGAATAGAACGCGTTCCGGAACTAAAGACTTCATATAAGAAAATTTAGCTGACGTATTGAAAAAAAAATTAAAAATGCTGATTTTTTTCTAATTTTTGATGAATTTTTATATGTATTATTATTGGGTTTGTGAAATCCCAAACAGGAACAAACAACTTGTTTTTCCAAACCGTAAACCGGAGTCCAGAGCCTTCTTTCCGATACAAATACGAAAACTGGTTTTTGAACCGGTCTTTCGATTTTAAAGTTCCAGTAAAAAAATATTAGCACAACACTAATATCGAGTAAATAGACGGTTCATGACAACACCGACACAAAAACAGTTTGGGAAACTATGGCTTGAAACATGTGTATCTAAATAAGATCTCGACCCGAAGTTTTTTCAAAACCACTGTTGAAGAAACACAAAATTTTATGTTGCAAATAGGTGAAATTGAAATTGTTGCTCAACAATAACTTGCATAAACTAACATACTTATTTGATTTAGTTAATGTTGAAGCTTAAAAGTTATTTTATTTCGTAGTACATTACTATTTATTGAATATCATATAACTTGTGAAATAACACTAGATAAATCAATAGTAATATTAATTAAAATTAATAGCACTATTTGAATAACAACGTATAAATAACAATGTAAAGCAAGATATTTACTTGAAATTAACTAACTTTAACATTAATTCGCTTTTTCGAATAAGTAATAGTAATACTGATATTAATTAACATATTTCAATTTTTATAATAAAGGAAAATATAGATATAATTAATGGAGAAATAGATACGAGTAAATACTAACATCCTTATCAGGCCTAATTAATATTTATGTCATGTATCTTAACAAACAAAGCATATTTTGAAACCCATAATAAATACAATCGAATACCCAATTCTTTAAGTTTATATAAATAATAAGCGTTTAATATCAAAATAATTTTAACTCATTCAATATCAGATACAATTATAATCAGATGTTATTAGGTCAACTCTGAAAAATAAAACCAGAAAAAATAATTCACTTAATATCAGATATAGCAGAATCAGACTTCTTCAGAAAGAATTGGAAATAGATTTCTTTAGAAATTAGGCCTGAGCCTGTTTTTAAAAATTAAATATTCTGGCATAGTCATATGTATAAAATTAATTTGGCTGAACATTTTAATTGCTTAGTTAGGAGGTTATTAGATGAACTTCAAAAAACAAAAACAAAAAAATTTAGTCACTCAATATATAGCACAATCAGGCTTATTCAGAAAGAGTTGGAAATGGATTTCTTTAGAAATTAAATACTCTGGCATAGTCATATGTATAAATTTAATCTGACTGAACATTTTATTGACCTAGCCAAGATGTTATTAGATTAACTCTAAAAAACAGAACCAAAAAAACCCTAATGATCTTTTTTTTTAACTAATTTTAAGCTTCTCAAAAATTTAAGCTACTCTTTTTGTTCTATCTATTTCGTCAAAAGCTGAATCACATAACAACTTTTTTATATAACTTTATCAATCATGAAATATCAAAGTAATAAATACAAAATTCTACAAAATTCCTACTACAAATTAGGATAACTTTCTAACTTATCCAGAGACATTTTTAAGGCTAATTGTAAAGACTTTTCGTGCTGATCGTCAGATGCAAATTTACTAAATAAATATAGGTGTGTTGAATATAATCATGCTAATGAGTATATAATACTTTGCAGAACCTCATTTAAATGCGTGTAAGTAATGGATTTTGCCAATTTTGTAATTATTATAAATAATAAATTGGATAGAACAGATGATAAAATCCTTATTTAATTATTTTCAATTTTGAAAATTATCTATTTAAGTTGAAAATTGATTCTGCAATTTGTCAATTGGCTGATACTTATGATTGTTATGCCTTTTGTAAAAATCTAATGGCTTATCATCGGATATAGCATTAATACTGTTTGTTTATTAATTACTAATTAATTGATTGATTTTTATTATTAATTTTATTCTGCAATCTGTTTATTTATAAACAATAAGCAGAGACTGCTAATAATAAATATTTTACAATATTAACTAAAAAATAGGTATTTTCTAGGTATTATATAACGCATAATAAGAAAAATAGCAAAGCAAATGAAAAAAGCTAGTGGTGTATCAGACATCGTACCTTAAGGCAAATTGCTGGAACTTCCCGTAACCTAATAAAATGAATATTCAAGGAATATTAAATGCTTTCAAATAGATTATTATAATTACTGTAAGTTCCATCATTCGTATTTTATAGACAAATTATTAGAGATTATAAATTATACAACAGCGTTTATATATGTTTGCATAAAAAGTAAAAAATAAACAAAACTTGATCAAGCGAAGGTAGAAATGAACTTACCTCATACTTCTGAGAATTATATAAACTGAATTGCAAAGTTAAAATCATTCATTTGAAGTATATATGTGAGCTTTAGAATTTGAGCTAGATTAAAATTAAAATCCAAATCACTTTCGATATTTATAAAATATCAATTTTTTTGGAAATTAAAAAAAGCAATAGTTTGAATTTTTTATTTTTGCCAAAACTAATAGTATCTTTAGAAGCTAATTTGAATTTTTAATCATTCCTATCGGATTCTTTGTTCTATCAAAAACTGCCATTTTTACACTTTTAGCTACTTATCTCTGAAACGGCTGGGCCTGCCTTTGTCAAAAACTAATCACTAATGTCTTCTCGTCATTACGGATTAAATGTTTTTGAATCTTCAAATCGGGTACACTGTTCTGTCAAAAACTATTATTTTATTCATTTTTTGCTTCGTATCTTGGAATCGGCTGGACCGACATTTTCCAAAAACTAAACTCTATTATTAATCACCATAAGTAAAAGTCGAATGCTTTTTGAGTCATTTAAATCGGTTGATCCGTGTTCCCAAAAACGTTGACAAAAAATTGTATCCACGCATACATACATGCAAAAACACATAATTTTTTTCTTAGTTATGCCAAAATGTTCAAAAACCTTTGAAGCGTAAAAATAGGCAAAAATTTTCAATTTCAATATTTGAACGATCACAATAACTTACCCTACAAGAAGTTAAAAATTTGCAACACAAATATTATGGTTTCACTCGAAATTAAAACACCATTCATTAAACTTGTAGAAAAAGAAGTTACCTTTAGTTTTTTTTAAATATAGGTATTTATTATAAACTTTTTTAATGAATTATTGCAAAATCAACACTGAAACTGACAGTTTCAAAATTATTCTGTTGTAATACTTTCGAAGTACCATGAACATAACAATAATTTCTTTTATTGTCCACGGTACCAACCATACATTGATAAAAGAAAATTTTTATATTTTAGAGGTACCAACTGTTTCTATTAACTTTAATAAATTATTCTATAAAATTCTTGACCAAATAGCACTAAAACATTCTAATTATTTATTACTCGGGCATTTTATTTGATACTTTTAAATATTATTAATATTTGTTGAGACAATATAAGTGCTGACATCAGTGAGTGCGCCTCTGTTTAAAAATATAAGCGACGTCAGCGCCTTTTGACATTAGCCGGCTGACGTCGGAACTACAATTACAATGTCGGAAAGTGGCATCTATGCGTGGTCGCTGTAGCACTTTTGTATAATTCTTATTTTTATATTCTAATTTATGACAGTTTTTGCAAGTTTAAACAAAAAATAATGAAACTAAAACATTGCGGCTATTATGTAATATTGCAAAGCTTTCGTAAGGAAAATATTATATAAGTTAGATTTGATCAAACAAGTAGTGGTTATAAGGTGAAACATAAATTGCAGCTATAATATTAATTTACATTGTAGTTTGAGTAACATGTAGATGTGCCATAACAGAATATTATAGAAATACGTTATATTGCAAGTGAGTGTTGATTTTAATTATTCATCAGATATAATATAACATTTTGTGTGCTCTTGCTTTTGCTTAGAATATTTGTCATAATTTTTATTTATAATGTTATAATCATGAAGAAACATCATAGACACTTTGTTGCTTTGATAATATAATACTGTAATATATATTTTATTATTTCTTAGATGGCTAGTCCTTACTATGCTTGAAAGTGTGCGTTCCGTCCAAGGTGCTACTTATTCTGTAAGAGGTGCAGAGCTGGCTCAGAGTGGAAAAACGAATTCCAGACGTACCACAAATCTAACTGTGGTACTTTTGGACGAGACGCAAAAATGTTTTACTGTAGAGGTGAAATAAAAATTGATTTCGTATTATGTATATTCATAATATATCATGCATAGCAATAAATAAAACATGTCTTACTTACTCCTAGTAATAAGTTCTTCAATGTAGCTTATTTAATTGCTTTAACTTATTAAAAAATTATAATGTAAAATTGTACGTTGACATTTTTATTGAGAAAGCACGTTTCTTGTATGCAAGAACTTTGTTTCATCTATCTATATTGATTTTTCATGATGGAGTATATGTATTAAATTATTTCTAAAAATGTTTGTTATCATTTTTAGAAAAAATGCAAAGGTTCAGTCTTATTGGAAAAGGTTTACACACATTTGGAATTGACAGAAAAAGAATATTTTGGCTTACAGTTTATAGATCAAAAAGAAATAGTGGTTAGTACAAATGTCTAATATATTTTGTTTTAATTGAATTGTGTTAATAAATATATTTTTTAGAGATGGGTTGATCATCACAAGTCAATCAAAAAGCAATTATTTGAACATACTGATAGAGCTTCTACACCACCTGTTTTATATTTCAAAGTTAAGGTAGGCAAAAGTATCTATTGTTAATATTTGTATGGTTTTTGATGTTATTGGCTGTGAAATAAATTTAAATTAATTAAGTTTATAATATATTTTTAAATTTTTATTAATTTAAATTATTTTAAAATATTTAAATAAAGTATTCTATATTGTAAATAAAGTTAATCATTTCATACATCATTTCATATTTTAGACCATTAGTTGAGAGGAGTGTATATTTCAGGTGAACAGATAGATAACAATAGGTATTTCTTATGATTTATCTGGCAATTCTGTAATAATTTGAATAATATAAAAGTGCATAGTTAAGTTCATACCAATTATTCAGTACTACTGCTTTTTATTTAGCTGTTGTAGAAAATTATGATTTAATTTTAATCATATTTGATTAGAATTTTCAATTCATTTGTATAACTAAAATAATGTTTTGTTAACAAAACATTCTAAGTTTATTTATAATGTTTTTCAGTTTTATGTAACGGATCCCAGTCAATTATTGGACGAATTCACAAGATATCAACTATATCTACAAGTACGAAAAGATATTCTTTCCCAAAAATTACCTGTTTCACATAATATGGCTTGTTTATTAGCCAGTTACACAGTTCAAGGTATATTAATAAAATTAAATTTAAAAAAAAGTTAAGAAATCATATAAATTAATAATTATTTTATATTTCAGCTGAATTAGGAGACTACAATCCGTCGGAACATCAAACAGGTTATTTATCAACATTTCATTTGTTAACGAATCAAACCACAGAGGATGAGAGAAAAATTTGTGAATTACATAAATTACATAGAGGACAACTGCCAATGGAAGCTGAACTTAATTATCTAGAACATGCTAAAAGACTGGATTTGTATGGTGTTGAACTTCATAAGGCAGTGGTAATTTGATTTAATTCTAAATAATTATTTCAGAATATGCATATACAACATTTTTCTGCATAATTAATCCAAAAATATTTCAATTGATTGATCATTATTTACTCAAATGCAACCAATTCATTTCTTAAGCAATTTTTTAATCTTTAAAACATGCATTAGTAAAATTGTTACATTGTCAATGTTTTTATTACTATTTAATTGCTTTTCATTTGTTAATGAAAAATATGTTTAATTTTAGACATGATATAATTCTATGAATTTTTTTTTTATGCATATTTTTTTTTTTTTGCAAAGGATTCATCTGGCAAAGACATAGTTTTAGGAGTGACTGCAATAGGTCTTGTTGTGATACAAAATAATATTAGAGTAAACACATTTTTCATGGTCGAAAATAATGAAAGTCTCATTCAAGAGAAAAAACTTTTTTTTACAACTTCGGAGAGAAGTGGTAAGTTATAATTATCTATACTAATAAACTTGCAACTTGTCTTCCATACACATGTTTATATTATTTTCAATTTTCAGTCGGAGTCTTACGATACTCTGTTGGGTTTCACACTACCGTGTTATAGAAGATCCAAAATATTATGGAAGAGCTGTGTTGAACATCACACTTTCTTCAGACTGCACACACCACAGCACAGGGGGCGGCTTAACTTTGGTTTTGGACTTTCCTTGAGATTTGGAAGTAAATATAACTACTCAGGTGAAATACTAGTTTTATTTTATAATAAAATTTGATAACATTTGAATTGAAACTTTGTGTCAGATAGCAATATTAGATATAAAGCCCAATTTTAATATTTTTTATTTGATTTTATCATTGGTAATGTAATTCTATATTCTAAAGTTATTTATTACTAACAAGCATTATGAATGTGGAGTTCATATAATTTATTCATATAGTAATATACCTTCTATAATTAGTTCAATATTAATTCTTTTTATAGGATGTACTCATCAGAAGCCTGCCCTTGAATCTAAACCTAGTAGGGTCTTTGTGCGCTCTCCAAGTCGAAGAATAATTGCAGAAAAACCCGGTCACATTCTGGATTTGACTACTGCTCCTCCACTTTCTGTGAAGTCACCTAGATCTCACGATAACAAAGTTACGGCAACCACAAAGGCCCAACAGCCGAGAAAGGCTTGGGAAAATTATAGTGATGAGTAAGTATATAACAAGAGAAGAAACTCTTATTTTTTTTAAATATATTCAAAATTGACATTGAATTTTTCTGTTTCAGTGAAGGGGGATTTGTGCCAAAGACTTTAGTGCCCATAGGATATGTAGATGAAGATGTGGACAGTAAAATAAATAGTGATAGTGCAGTTTATGATACTCCGCCTTACAGTGATACTCATTCGCCAATACCTCAGGTACTTAGAAAAGAGTTTTTATTTTTTGTGTACTGTAATGTTTTCTTTATGATCGAAAAAATTGCATTGCTAGAAAACGAGTTGTTCACCAAATAAACTAAAATATTCTTTTTATATATTTTTTTAATTTTATGTTTTATAGATTTTTCAAATGATTCTGAATTGTTTGCCACCAAATTTTACAAAAAGTATGTGTTTGTGTGTGTGTATGTAAGTCAAAATTGAACATTTTGTATAGATTTTATCAAAAATGGTTGAAGTGATTTCAAACATTTAAAAACCATTTGATGAAACTCAATAGGACCCCATGTAACTGCTTTTTATAATATGCAAGTATGTAATATGTAATCCGCGTTTTTGCCCAAAATGCTGAACCGAGTTGGAGAATTCAAAATTTTTAGCCTAAGAGGGTGGTGTATTGTTTCAAAATCTAATAAATCTCTATAATTAAACCGCTTTTTGTAGCCCTATAATATTGTAGGATGTGTGTTAAAACTACAAACTCCATTATCATACAGATTCAGCACAATTTACAACTGATATCTTTGCAACAGTTTCTGGATTCTTCAACTTGATTCAGTATTTTGGCCCAGACTGTGTATGCTCTAAGAGTCTGGGCTCGGTGTTCTTGCAAAATAATGAATACAATAACTGATATTACAAGTCTATTCGTGAGATATCAATGTGAATCGGATTAATTAGATTTCAGTTAAATGCATGAGCTTTATCTTTGAAATAACCTGTTATTTATTTTTTTCATGTTAAAGGTTGCTGAGTCTCAAATCTTACATGATTCAAAAATGATAGGATTAAATAGATTATTCACACATATCGGAAATTTTTTAATATCATTACAAATACATATTGTATAAAATATTTATACTCATTATTTTATTACACATATTACGCATATATTACAAAAATGGATCTATCTGAAAGTAATTTGTAAGTGTTTGTGTGAGTATGTAGTATGTTTGGTTACAGTTTTTCGTCTATGATTTCGAAAGCACAGATCAACTGATTTGAATGATTCATAAAGAATTTGATTCGTATTGACATGGAGACCTGCTTATTAGTTTTTGGCGAAGGCAATTTCAGCCGTTTCGAAGCTATAGGGCAAACGTACCAAAAATGGCAATACAATTAAAAAAATATAATTTGTATTGATAGACTGAAGAATTGATTGAATTTTTGTGAAAGGAGGTCCAGCGGTTTTAGTTTTTATTCAATAAAAGAAAGTTTGAAAAAAGTGCCATTGGCATGATCATTAGACATATGCACATCAAATTATCAGATATTTTATAGAGATTTTAATAATAAGTACACTTTTTGCTTACATTTCTATGGGTTCCATACCAAGATTTATAATGTTTAACCGTTAGACTGTAACGCGGCGCTTATGTGCTATACTATATTTCGTCTCTAAAACAGTTACGAAGCGCTTCGCTTTGAAATAAATTTTTAAAAAAATCTCAAAATTAAATCGCGAAATAAAATAGCCACTAGTTTCGTAATATAATTTATAAAAAAATTGTAAGAAAAAATTAAGGGCATTATGCATCTGCTAAGCGCCGACTATACTAACTATACTAACTAATATGGATTAGAATAAACTATAAATAACTATTACAAATTATCAAAAAAAAACCTTCAGTGCACGAGGCCAGATTCGATCCGATTGTCTTCAGTTGCGTTCAATCGATCGATTAAAAATATTCAAACGATTGCTACATATCGCATTTGAATAGTTGCGTTGTTTTGGCAGTCGTATCACGCGCTGCGTAACAATACTTTTATGGTAGTCGAAAATACAATGTTACAAACTTTGCATATGGACTTTCTTCGAAGCAATGCGATGGACCTGACTAACGAAATTAGAATTGATTGTTATTGAGGTGTTATTCATTTGATAGGTTTCTCATTTGTCTTACCTTATTTAAAGTTAATAATAATTTACAAAAAAAAGCATTAAATATATTTTGTGTGTGAGTCTTGTGCTTTTTTTTAAAATAGTTTCTGTGTTTACTCACTAGGCAAGAGTCAAACTGGGTCTTGAATATTTTTTTAAACATGACTTAGTTTTTCTATTTAATAACATATTTTTGCAAAGGGAATTTTAAAACATGTCAATATACATTTTATTCACAATTAATATTAATTACAATTTTAAACTTATTTCCATTATGTAAGTTAATAAAGCGTGGTTTAAATGAATATATAATCCAAAAAATACTTAAATCAATCATATTTAATAATATATATTATGAAGTTATTAATATTACGATATTAAAAACAAAAAATGCACACAAGAACAGCGAGTTCTGATGCAGGTAAAGGTATTTTGGTGAACAAAAGTCAAAACAACACAAATTTACAAAACCTAAAAAATTACAACTTATTATTCTCAGCATAATTATTCGTATATAATAACTGTGTAGATAAATAGAAATTGGACAAGTGCTCGAAACTTTGAAAGACTCGTTGAAAATTGAATATGGACTCTTAATATATGGAACTTGTTAATTTTTTTATTCCTAACTTCTATAGTTTTTGTTTCAAATCACTAGACACATGTTTTTACTTTTACCTGTTTACGATTTTATTTTTCTGAACTTTAATGAACGTAAATCTATATATAAAATTGTAGAAGTTAGATGAAAAGTGTCCTTATAAAACACACATTATACCCGAAATAAATCTTCATTATTTCTTCTCTACAATTTTACAGACATTATCAATCTTAGTAAAGATAATTATCTTTATAATCACACATAAGATTCATATAACTTCCTTAACACAATAACAACGCATTAACACACAATCTATACACTTTGGTAATCACTTCAGAATTATTAGTCTTTCAATATAAACGTATATCTTTTCAGTGAATATATTACTTTTTAATTAGTGGTTGTTTTTATTTCAAACGTGTTAACATTAAACTGTCTAAGATTAAAAATTGATTCTTTCAACATTTAAGTAATTATTAATTTATAATTGTGTATAAAACAACCATTTTTTAATCATCTATTTTAACAGTTCCTGAAAAAGGTAATATCCCAAAACTCCGAAACGTTCATATAATTACATGTGAAAAATTAAGTTAAAAAACGAGCAATTAATTCATAAACATAAAATCATTAATAATATTAGTTAACTAGATAAACAAACTATTATATATGTATATATACATAATGTAACAGTGTAAATGTAATAGTGTAATACGTGTTGTGTTAACATTTTTGAAATGAGTGGAAAACGTTATAAAATATCTTAGCATACTTTAAATTTAACTGATAAGATAACAAAATAATTTCTAATGTAAAGTGATCCATATACCGTATCAAAATAAACCGTCCGTGACTCATTGGTAAGCGCTTTTGTCTTCCAGCCATATGTTTCAGATTTTTTTCCTTCTCGTTCAGCATGACGATTAATACCAGTTTTCACTTGAAAATATATATCTAAATGTTATTTATGTAAATATAGATCTAAATGTTTTTTATTTATGTAACTGATAACGGTTTGATTTTATATAGAGCTTTGATATATTCGGATTTTTTTTTAACGACGTTTATTTAAACACTAACTTTGTTTTAATTTCTGATTAAAAATATCTGATATAATAAACCTTATAGACCAAATCAAATATGTAGTCTTGTAAATTTTTGTAAAATCTTATAAAAAAATTAAGACTAAAACTGAAGACAGAATTTTATTATTTAAATTATCGTTTTTTTTTAGTCGGATGAAGGAACTGTGTCGATACATTTAACTGCTGACGACCAAGGACGTTTCGGTTTCAATGTAAAAGGTGGATCAGATTTGGGACTGCCAATATTAGTATCTCGAGTTGCTCCAAATACACCAGCTTATAGATGTACACCCAAATTGAACGAAGGTGATCAGGTAATCAAAATTAACGGCCGGGACGTCAGTAAAATCCCTCATGAAGAAGTCGTTAGTCTTATCAGATCTTCCAGAGAATCCAAGACTGGAGAATTGGTTTTAACTGTTAAGCCTAATAGTAAGTTGATAATACTATATTAATTTACCAACACCAATACCATTATTAATTTTTAATTAACTCATTCTGATCTTGAATAAATTGCTAGTACTTTTTTCTTTTTCAAGAAACTTAATGTACAATTCATAATTTAAAATTTTAATTTTTTAAACCAAGTAACCTTAAAATTCCTTTGTTCTACTTTTCAATGACAAATAATTTAATTTAAAATTTAATAATCCTGAGTTTGATGATTAAATGTTGTGCATTTTATCATTTAGTTTTAGTTAATGTTTATGAAGAGGAACCACTGTATCAATATGTGCCAGATAGAATGGCCACGGATATGGATTCTAGTAATCTCACACTGCCATGTGATAATTTGTACGATCCTGATTTTAATGTCAGCCCTCTATGCCAGTCTATGATGCTTTTGTGTGATGGTTTAGCATCAGGAGCGCTTATTTCTCAATATGAACAGTTATATAGAAAGAATCCAGATTTATCTATGGCTGAAGCTAAGAAGGTACAAAATGTTTCGAAGAACAGATACAGGGACATAGCACCATGTAAGTTTAAATATATAATTTCTTATAATGTATTATATCAAGTTTATCGTATTCATAATAATGGTATTACAATTATTTTTTCTATCTATGAAATGTAAATTAAAAATTTGATTTACTATTACTATTGATTTTAACCCAAATGTATATCCCTCTTTTAGATGATTGCACAAGAGTAATTTTAAATAATTATGAAGGTGGAAATTACATAAATGCAAATTATGTAAATATGGAAATATCAGGAACTGGTATTATAAATAGGTATATCGCAACACAAGGGCCACTATCAAATACCGTTGCTGACTTTTGGCATATGGTTTTGCAATCAGAAAGCAGATTGATTGTTATGTTAACAACAGTTACCGAGAGGGGTAGAGTTAAATGTCATCAATATTGGCCAACAAAAGGAGATACTTTAAATGTTTCTGCTAATCTAACCGTTCTATGTGAAAAAGAAAAGGCTGATAATACTGGAAGTTTTGTATTTAGGGAATTATTGCTGATTAATAATAAGGTGAGGTCAATTAAAGTATATGGTGTAGCAGTTCATTATTGCTTCATTATATAAAGTATTTTTAAAAAACTAGCATATAATTGTTTTTGTGCAAATTTTCTATAATTATTATGGTACAAATTGCCACACAAAATAATGTATAACACCTTATTAACTATTAACATAAAGTTGGGTTTGGGTTTATATTTTCAAGTTTTTGTTCTATATTTATTTAAATATATTTATTCAAACAATGAGACCATATGAACATAATGCTCTTGTTAAATAATTTATAATAAATAAATAAAATTTATTTCCTGCTTAATGGAGCCTGTTAGAATATAATGGATAAGATCACAAACTAGTTTCGGGTTCCATCCCAAACCTGGTCAAATCTATATATAATATAAAATAAATATCTCATAATATCAATTTATAAAATAAAGATCTCATATAATCAAGTCCTACCAAAATCACCTTTCCTGAGGATTGTTCCAATTCTTGCAAGTCAATCTACTATATATTGTCTACACAAAAAAAGACTGGTTCACTGCTGGTTTTCCCTCTTGAGAAAAATATTAGGTTTGAATGTCGATAGCAAACCCGGCTCATAAAGACTATGTAATTCTGATCACTGTAATAAAATGTTTCTTAATATATTTCAATGTTGTTGAAATGAAATATTATATTTAAAGTTTAATTATAATATTGATGTAATTTATTTTAATTAAACTTAAAAGATTAATCCATTAACTCTTGGAATATATTTTGCAGACTGGCATTCGACGTGTGATTCAACATTTACAATATTTAGCATGGCCTGATCATGGGGTCCCTTCTGACCCTAACATGTTCCTATGTTTTACCGAACGAGTGCGCTTAGCACGAAGTCTGCACACAGACATCGCGGACGATCTTCCGCTTCGTCCTCGATCTATGATTAGTACTCCTTTCGGATCGAAAGTCAATTCTCCTGCCAAAAGTAACAAGAGCATTTCAAGCAACAAATCTACCATATCCAATGGATCTGTAAGCAAAACGGAAGCTTCAAAAACATTGTTCTCGCCAAAAAGGGCATCTGCCCCACCAACGATGACTGATTGCCCTCAAATTGACCAAGTGATACCAGCGCCCATAGCTAACTTAAGTGAAATTTCTTTAGGCGATACCACTGAAGTGTCATCTGATGAATCTCTTAAACAATCAGATCTAGAAAAAATTATGTCAGGTGAGGACCAGAATCCGATTATTGTGCACTGTTCAGCAGGAATAGGTCGGACTGGTGTGTTGATATTGATGGATACAGCTTTGTGCCTGATGCAAAACGATGAACCTATATATCCTCTGGATATTGTGCAGGCCATGCGTGATCAAAGAGCTATGATGATTCAAAATGCTGTAAGTGTAAAAATTTGCATCAAAAAAGCATTAAACATCTACAAATTATATGTTTCAGTTCAACATATTTTTATAAATTTAATCAATAGATTCTCATATAATAGTAATCATATATTTTACAATTAGATACTTTTTTTAATGTAATTTTAAGTAAATCCTTGAATATTTAGATGTAATTGATTAAAACATCAATTTAAATGATCCATCGTTCATTAAATATTCTGAGCGGCTCGAAATATAATATATAATTAAAAATATATCATTTTATAAAAAAAATTTTTGCTCGAATAATTCGAACCATAAATTTTACCAGAATATTTTGAGTTATTAAAAGTAGTTTTTAACTGAAATTATTCACTATTCAATTTTATTGCTAATAATTTTTCATGCAATTTAGTAAAACAAAAAATAATCGACCAGAATTAAATAACTTTAAAAACAATTAATTATTTGCTGATAATACCTAATTTTTACATATAAGGGTGTAAATACACCTCTAATAATCAAATGAAGGCTATCGATTTGTAAGTGTTTTTATCAGTCTGGTACCTTTAGCTACATTTGTTTTCTTCAATTTTTATGTGTTATTTATACACATAACTACAAAAACGGTTTCTGAATCATATAATTTTCTCCTAAAAAAACAGTTTTTGAAAAAAATAAACCCTATTATCTGTATAAAATATTATTCCCTAAAATTTCTTAAAATTTGTGCCATATAACATGAACAGTTACAAAATATACAAAAAATATATAACCAATATTATCTTTAACATTTTTCAAATATTCTAAGTAGCTCAAAATATGTAGAAAAAATAACTGTTTGATACATAACTTCTTGTTTCCAAAAATTATTCAAAATTTGCCCAATATAACATTTTACAAGATATATGAAATATATATATAATCCTTATCATTTTATTTACAGAGTCAATATCACTTTGTTTGTGAAAGCATTTACACTGCATATCGACAAAGAGTGGCGAGCATAACAAAATAGTTTATAACTTTTATATAAGTTATAATGACTGGCTGAACTATTATGCAATTTTAGGATGGTTCCATCATACATAATGAAATGTAATTAGAATCACACATTCATGTTAATTTGCAGATCAATAAAGTCAGCAATATTTATAAGAGTAAGTATTAGTATTTCTATACTTATTGTAGCATACATTTATATTATAGTGAGCTTGTAGGAAATTAGTACAAAGCTACAATATGATTGGCTGATTTATATAATGTTTTCGATCTGAGATTATCTATAATGATGTTAGATAATGAATTTATCTAATTCGAAACTTGGAACGTTTTTATTAGTATTATGGTTTTAGATTTGTGTATTAAGTTTTCACAATCTAGTAACAATAACGTTATTTTGAATTGTTACTTAGTATGTAATATTCTGATAGTAATACTAACATTGTAACTGGCTTAAACATAAAAACAAGTAGCATTTCATAATATTTTCTATGAAATATTTATTATAATATATACATGTATTATAATAAATTAAGTTTATTATCATAGACGTAGAATACAGTTGCTATCACAGGATTTTTGGTTCTATAGAATATAAAATACGCCGAAACTAGGGACATTTTCACCTTTCAGCAGGATTTTTTTTATTAATAATATCAAGAGTTGCTTACGATGTCAAATATTGGGTGAAAAATATCTATATTTAATTAAATAAACGGTCTGATTATAATAATGCATTTTCATGCTTTTTGTGAATCAATTTTACATCATAATCTAGAATAGCAATTAAATATAACGATTTGTGAATGTCTTAAGTGATTATTACTGTCTACTTCTAATTTGAAGTAGAAATATTTCATACCATTTTAAAGTCTTTCAAACTTTAAAACAAAGTTGCCATGTTCATATATAGTTTATAAAATAGAATGAAAATAGATACTTGAACTGGTACAAAGCATGTTGAGGTAGTCGTTCACTCTATGAATATTTTATTGTAACAAATATCTGGCCATATGTAGCTAAATGTTCAAAAGCGTTTCTAAATGAATTATATAAAGATTGATTGATTCAATGACTGTAATGCCAGTCAATCGCGATTATAATACCTGCATTTTTTTAAGAAGTCTCATTATGATCTTACATTATTAATATAACGATTAGATGATCACAAATATGGTAGTATATTCTCAAAACAATTTCTCCGAGCCTATTTAAATAAATCATGAGATTTATGAAAATGTTAACCCAACCGACCACTAAATGTGCCTGTATTATAAATGAAAGTGGTTTTAAATATATGACGTAAATTTATTAAAAAATTTATACCGTTATATATTTGCTTAATTAGAATAATTTCGCAATTAATTAAAAATTGAATGTTAGATATACATTTCAATTAAAGGCAACTGTTATAATTATTTTGATGTAATTGTAATGATCAACTCTCTTGATCTGCATATACTAAAACCACTGATTTAATTATCTAGTCTTATTTACTTAAAACACTCAGTGTTAAATATTTTATAAAAGTAATTATTAATGAAGATGTTTTATAAAATTATATGAAATCTTTGTAAATGTTTGTATCACAATATAATTGATGTAAATGAGAACTGATATGTTTTATTATTTTCAGTTACTATAACAGCCTCAGCGATTTCCAAAAAATCCAATTTGCTAATTTTATGCATCAATGTTTCAAGTCAAGCCGAACCGTTTCTTTATAATTCGAAAATTAGTGATAAAATCCTGACGGATTTTGTAAGTTTTTATAAATTTTGAAAGATATCAGTTGCTAATCATGCTGACTTGGTAACGATCTGCCGGGTCGTTTAGCTAGTTAAACTTAGCTATTCTATCTAAATAGAGATTAATTAACATTGTAAAATATTATAGACCTATAAAAAATGTTTTTATTATAGAAATTAATTAAACATAATGTTCCGTACTGATCACCGTTGACGTGGACGTTAAATAAAATAGATTTTTAGAACACGAATTAGAATGAAATGTGTTATATAAATTATAAAAATTTATGATTAAATTTATATAGAACAGTTATATAGAACATTGATATAACTAACTAATTAATACATGTGGGTAGGTTTTGATAACAATGTTATATTTCAAGAAAATGATCATACAATTGGAGATTCAATCACACATGTACAATATCAACTGTTGACACAAAGTGCTTTCGGAGATTATTGTGTAAGGCTGGTCATGTAACATTTATTGATTCACAATTACACATCAAAGAGATTGAGTTTAATATTTGCTCAATATTTGTTATCCTATAATTCTTTCTTCTATTATTGCAAAGTTTCTTTGCACACGATACATTTATACATAAATATCAAACAGTTATCACATGCAAGGAAAATCACTTTATACAATCGAGGTTAACAGTAACACATGGTCGGTTTTTATTCATGATATGGAATTCTACAAATATTTAATACTTAGGTGGTGACACTTAATGATTTCAAAAGGCAAGCTACAAGGTACTTTTTTAAAGTAGAGATATAGTAACAGATAAGGGTCAGAGGAAAATACAATATCCATTTTTTACGGCGATATTAAGTCAAATTACAAAATAATTCTTATAAAATTATGTTACTTTTATCAAAAAATAAAAGTTTCATAAAGGAATGCTGGTGACATTTGGATATCATTTATTAGCCCATTTTTGTTTGATGTTACTATATTCTTAATATTTTGATGGCAGTTCTCTTCTTTTTTTGCTCAAAATTATTTCTATACTGATTTTCCAAATCTAAGACTTTTTTTTCTTTTAGTTTTTTTACTTCTCTGTATCTCAGGATTGCTCTCCACTTTTTTAAGCACTATTTTAAAAGTAAACGTGTGCTTCGGCGATGCAGAGGCGGCTCGCCTTCGTTCTGGTGTAAGGTTATCCACATCATCTGAACACCTTCTTAATTTATCAGCCATTATACTCCCAGAACGTAAATTGCTTATAGTTGGAGTAAGAGGTCTATGCTCATATACAGAACTATCGCATTCTTCAGATGATCTACGTGGACGCCAAATATTGGAACCAAGCCTTGGAGTTATCGGTCTGGGTTCAGGTGTCAATGGTTCTACGTCTTCGGAACATCTCCGAGAACTTCCAGTGTATGAACTAGCACGAGATGAGGTCATGTATCTTGGCTCAGGAGTTAGAAGCGCAACTTCATCAGACCCTCTACGCGAATGGCTTATTGTATCCGTTGAAAATTTCCGGAGACTTGACGTAGGTCGTGATTGCACTATGTGTCTCGGCTCTGGCGTCAATAGATCGACGTCTGAATCTCTTCTGCTATGTCCAATAGCTTCGGAGCATTGTTTACCCAATACCGCTTGCCGTCCTGCATCGGAACCAGTCCGCGGCGGGGCGGATGCCAACGTTGATTGCCGTACCAGTGGCGAACACGCAGCAGGTGTAGATCGCGTAAACGCATCAGCAAATTTATCCGTCAACTCTTTACTACTTTCTTCTATGGGCGAATGTCTTGGGGTGTGTCTAGGCGAATGTCGCGGAGAATGCCTGGGTGAATGCCTAGGTGAATGCAAAGATGATCGTCTGCTGGGGACAGTAGTGTCTTCATTAGTGTCTACGGGAAAAGGCAATAAACGCTGAGAACTCGCAGTCGGTATATTACCGTCCGTAGGAGACTTTAATCTTACGAATGGAAACAAAGGCTCAGTAGGTGTGCGTTCGGCAGCGAGCGAGTTCTGCCTGGATTTCATATTGACAAATGGAAAAAGATTCTCGCTGGGACTTTGGTCAATCGGTTGTTGGTTAAGCGGGTGAGGAGATGAGGAAGGGGGGTTAAGCGAATGTTAGTTGGACGAATGCTTTCCGTCGCTGGATGGCAGTTCGCTGGAACCGCTTGAGCTGATGGTGGTGTTGGAACCCAAGGGATCCACGCTGCTCTGCACAGACATGGAGCGGCCTTGAGCTGCACGCTTTATTCGGATGGCGTTCGGGGACAACTTCGCGGGGTCGACACTTGCTGGGTCTGCCTGCAACAATACCAGCGTGCGGTACCACTGTCATCTTATGATACATACATATTTATATTTACAAGCTCACATTGCTCCAAAATTATCGTAAAATCAAGATAAGACAAAAAGAATATTTAAATATTAAAAAAATCAACTGTTTTAAAGTGAGACTTGAAGTGATACTTGTGTGATAGCAAACTTTTTAAATTATAAACAGAGAGGCCATGTCAAAAGTGTAATAAGTATAAAAACTAAAGCAAAATTGAAAGTCGTATAGATCTTTCTGCCACGCACCTGATAAGCCAACGCATTCATGATTATTGAGTAGGGCACCAATCCTAATGGATACACTTCGCGCATCAACACATTAGCCGGAATTTTGTGAAATTGAATATACTCCAAGAAATTACCAATGACATCTTTCAGAGGTGTACTTTGATTAGTATCACAATACTTCTTGCCCCACATCAACGCTGCTTGGAATTTGGTAAACTCATCTGCAGTGTTTTCTTCTCTTGCCAGGATTAGGCGGACCACGTGTTGGGGAAGAAGTGTAAAAGAGCCAAGATTGAGTACATCATTTCCATGTTCATCCACAAACTCTAAAACCTAGTAGAAAACGAATATTGAATAGATAATATGATAAAGTATTAATTAAATCCTATGATATATTAGTACCTTCTGAACAAGTGACTTAGTACATTTATATTGAATGTATCGCTCAGCTGATGCTAAAAGAGCGCAAACAGTGTCTACATTTATACAACATTGCACGAATCCAGCACAGGCCTTGCGCAATTCTTCTAGTCCATAATAATCAGCAGCATTCATTACTCCTATTATAGAAATTATAAATCATGAATCTTTAAATTGTAAATAGTCCATTGTATTAGATAATTGATAAAGTGTTGATAACAAATAATGTGAAGATTTAGAGGAAAAAATCAAAAATTTAAATATTTATTTTACACTTCTGAATATATTCTATATTTCTATTATAGAAATAATTCAGTTTTTGGTTACTACTAAATACTTTTAGAAAATTATTTTTATTTATTGCAAAGTTTGGTATTGGCGTTCAAGCGATGGAGTTTGACTGACTTAATTTATAATAAGTTTTTTTTAATGGACCAAGAGAAGTTTTTACCTAACAATGTCCTGGGCTGCAAGGTGACACACCCTGTATGTATGTACTCAATAAGCTGACGAAACACATCAGGTTCAAATTCTTCGATAATAAGAGTCTGATGCTGTTGGGAAGATGGCTGCAAAAACAAAATCATTTTTGCTATTTCAAGTTCTTATTTCAAATTAAATAGATTTGAAAAGGTGCTTCAAAATAACAAGTTAGTGGTGGTATGATTTTCTGTGGTATCATGCAATTGCATGCGGTGTAGATGGTTACAGAAAGGCTAACAACAATTTCAAGCAAAAGAAAACAAATTTTAATACAAAGACGTCTAATATGTTTAGATTGCAAGAATGTAATACAAACAACGAAAGACGAGACATGTCAACGACATAACTCACAATATCAAACAAATCCAAATTCGATATCATTTTCTAGCATAAACAATTGGAATGGAAACAAAAATATGAACCGAATACGAATCTTTATATCTATTACAGTTGATATTCATTGTATTGGTTTGATTGTTATCGTTTAATTAATTATATCGGATTTTGCTTTAAATTCCACAGTATTAGTAATTGCATATATTTATAAAATATAGATAGAGTGTGGGTAACTGTTAAATCAGACAACAACTAATATAACTACAGTAGAACCTCGTTAATACGATCATTTTTATCACAATTTTGTGCATAATAAGCCAATTTAGGACTCTCCCTGCACATTGGAACATATTGCCTCTATCCCGCATAATACGATCTACCGATTGCGATAAGCTTTTGGTGATTGCACGAATTGTATAGTATTTGCTGTTACAATGTAGTAGATGTAGAATAAGATCACCAGAACTGAGAGTAGACTCCGAAAATTGAATTTTTACCTTTTTTTTGTATAAAGTACGTTTTCGTGTATGCATATTAGAGATGGGCTTATCATATCCGAAGCCGGATCGGATAGGTTTTGACTCCGCTTCAGAGAGGAGTTATATCCACTTAACAACTCCACAACTCCGACAACTTTGAAACATAATATTTGACACAAATGTTTTCTCTAGTGTGTTGTTAACATATCTAAGGATTTATTAAGATTTTCCAAATAGTTTACAAATAGTTCAAACATTTTTGTTCATTTTATTATAATAATTACTATTTTATGCATTTCAATATGCATACAAATTTCAAATTGTCAAAAAACTTGGGAATCAAAATCAATTTTAGAATTCTTTGAATATGTTTATTTTTATATGAAAATAATGCAGTGAACTTTATAATAAAATAAGAACAAATCTATATATTCCAGGTATATAACCTGGAAAGTCCTAAAACTGGCTGTGAGACGAGAAAAAGACCACTTCTTTCGGCCCAAATTTTTGTATTAGTAAAAAAACTTAAGCAAACATCTGAACATGTTAACAGATTTAGTAACAGTTTAGGGAAGTCGGATATGACAAATCCTGTGAGACAACTCCATTCGGATTCACTCCGAGAGAAGAGTTGTATCGGAGTGATAACTCCGCAGCGAGTTACCCATCTCTATTGCATATATATGGCAATTCAACGGTGCCAAAATTTTAAAATCATTTTAAAACAATTTTTTTATATTTCATGTCATGTGAAGCTAACAACTAAAAACAATTTTATATTACATTTAGTTTATAAATATAATTTTTGTTATGTTTTATAAATTAAAGCAACTGCAGCCCACATCTCTTCAATACTATTTTTTTTTTTTTTTTTTGAAAAATTTTGTTTCTAGACAAGCCACTATCAAATTGACGATTTATGCATAGGTACTTTACAATCTCAAATTCTATGCTGCTACCTTTTCAAAGTAAGATTATTTCTACAGATGAACATATGGAAAACATGGTTGTCCATAGTAAATGTTCTACAGTTTTTATGCAAACACTAAAAATACATAAAATAGAGAAGATAACAAAAAAAGGTGTAACGAAAGTTCTGGATTAATTTGATATTAAAATTAAAAATAATAAATGAAATTGTTTTAACGAATTTGCTAAAGAAAGGAAATACATAGATGCCACCTCATTCCAGTTATATGAAAAATTCCAGCATAAAAGTCATTGAATAATCGAAGTATCTCAACCAAATTCATAGCAAAATTAAATTTTCCAATGTTGGTTTTTCCTTTTGTTGGTTCAACTTCGATTGTCCAATTCAAGCGCAATTTGGTGATTGATTAAGCTGTGTTTTTAAGTTTTTGTAGGAGTGAATATCAGGGTGTCTTACCTCGGGTATGGGGGCCAATTGTTGGGTGTACGGTGTGCGCTGCGGACCAGTTACATATAATTACGACAAAAGGATTGCAACAATTACATATCAACATAGCATTAGGGCAAGTACATTGATATTTTAAACATCATTTGTACACAAAGATATTTAAAATATAAATTTATTATTTTTTTATTTTCTGGCTAAATTTTATGAAGTAAGTTACATATAGCTGGAACAAAATCTTATTAAAACAATCAGCAATGTATTGACTATGAGCGAAATTTAAAAAAAGGAATTCATATAATTTTTTTGTAAATTTCCTTGTCTGTTTTATAAAATCACATGTATACCCGCAAGTATACTATATTATGTAGTTATTATCCTGCATTCACTTTTTAAGCTCGAGCACTTTTTAATCACTATAAAATCATTTTATCTATTATGGTTAGCAACTACTTAAGCATATCCATTCTTAAATTGTTCAGGGGCATTTATATACAAAGCAAGCAGGATTTGGAATTTATTTACAAAACAAAGCATTTTTTCATTTCTATATAATTATTATTATTATATATTATCAGTTTATTATATTTTTGTAGGTTTGAATGTTATGCATTTTTTTAACTATTTTGAACTTACTTGTTGTGCAGCATTTTGGAGATTCAACAATGGCTCAGAAGATCTTTTGAGGAACAACCTTAGCTTGTTTTCTTTGGGAGCAGGTTCCTTCTTTCTTTGTGGACTAGGTGCTTGGTATAATAGTTTGTGGAAAACTCTAGTGAAAGAATATGTAGGAAATAATAACAGGCAAGTAATAATATAATTTAGAAGCAATTATCTTAGTTTTTATCTACGTCTCAATATTTGAAATATTGACCGCAATAATTATTGATCTCTGGCGCAATTTGCTAATATTAAAATTAAATAAAATATTAAAACTAATCTAATTTTTTATGGCTTCTCAATCCGGATATTGTATTGTCTAACAAAATTAATTTATTTTAGCATTTATTGCTAAAAGTAGTGCCTAAGTTATGGACGGTTCAACTACGTATTTATCACATTTGAGTAACTTTAAAGCTAAAATCAATCAATAGCCATACTTTTGTGACGATTGGGATGAATAACACAGGCCTACAAAACATTTTGTTTTGTTTGGTGCATCAAATGTTAGAGCTGATTCTTATAGTATTTTTTGCGCTGATTTCAAATCTGCAAACCATTTTTTTGTATCAACTCTAGTCTGGAACTTGGAAAAAAGTTGCCGAAACCAGGTCCATTCTAGGTCGTCACGGAAAAGAACTTTTCACAGTGTCAACTAATGTCCCAACTAAGGCCGAATGGATCTTGTAAGTTTGTATGTACGAGATATCTCATTAAAATAACATTGTGAATTGTATTACTATTTTGTACTTTCATTCCTTATATATCATACATATCATATCTTGAAAACTAAAGCTCATAGAAAAAAACCAATGTCATTTTTGAAATCAGCGCCCCAAATATATTTAAAAACAGCATTAAACTCGTTTGCACCATTTTCTTTGTTGGCCTGTGTTAAACATAAACATAATTTAAACATAACAATTATAATCTTTATGTTTAACTTATGTTTAACACGTTGAAGACCGCGTGTCCACAACGTAACTACATTACAGGACACCACATGGGCCGATTATACAATGATGGACAAGGTTTACACTAAAATTCATCAGTTCATTCGACAATCATCAGACACATTAAATTTGGCACAGCCTTATTTTAAATTAGCATATCACCGATATGTATTAACTGGACCGATTATACAATGATGGACATGGTTTACACTAAAATTCATCAGTTCATTCGACAATCATCAGACACATTAAATTTGGTACAGCCTTATTTTAAATTAGCATAATCTTTCTTTTTTTAACCCATGCAAAATTGACGATTTTTTATGCGGTCCCCATGTGTGAAATGCGATTTGCAATGAAGTCTTTAACGTAATATTAGAAATGTTTCTGGAATTAGAAAAACAAAGTGAATAGCCACTATATTTTGCTTATTATCTTGTTATCTTGATTTATATTTGAGATTTGCCAAGTACGAAAATGGACTGATGAACGTTGCATTACGTTAATAACAATTAGTATTAGTAACAATCAGCAATTATTCATTAATGTTTTGCGTTACTGATCATAGGTTATTAATGCCAAAGTCTCAATCTTGGATTAAATACTCTTTTGTACAAAATATACATTATAGTCTAAAGTCATTTAAGCTAAATTAGGTAAGAATCTCAGAATTCTAGGTACCCAGCTGTAAGTCTGTAAATACTTGTATATTGACATTTAAAAGTTGTCTCAAAACCTACATATGGTACGTACACCATATATCATATTATACTTGTTTATCTATGTATCATATGTTGTTTTTTAGCCAACTTTGAAATGTCAATATACAAGTATTACAGACTTACAGCTGGGCATCTCAAATTCCGAGGTGAACTTACTATAATGACTGAACTATTAATACAAACTTTAAAAGACTATAATTTTATATAGACTTTAGAAAACTATTCTTAGCCGAACACACTTCTATAGTGAATCTACTCAGGATTAACGTTATGTTAGTAAACAATTCAATATATCAATAGCCAAAAATAGATCTGGTTCTTTGTGAGCAACATATTTCGCGATCAAGTGAAAGAAAATCCCGACACATTACAGAGCCCTCAATATTAGGAACCAATCGTTGAAACAAATTTATGCAAATGCCGTCAAAGTCAGTTAATTGCCTGATGGAGTTCCAAAATCGTGTATAAGCTCGAATATATTTCTGCTATCTCACCTGCTTCTGGCAGCTAGTACTGCCTTAACCGCGCACACTGGTTCCCTGGTCTCTCCCACCAGGAAGGTGACGTCGCAAAGTTCGGGCATGGATGCTAGGAACTTCATGTCTTCGGCGAGGCCGCTCTTGTTCTCGAAGGTGCTGAGGTCGGGCTCCGCGTCGGCCATCGTGGCGCCGTGGCCGAGCGCGGGGACGGGTAGGAGCGGGGCGGGGAAGTGCGTCGGGGCCTCTGGCATATGGGCCGCTGAGATAAGCTGATCTCGAGATTTAAATCAGCCGGGTTTCCTTCTTCTGATACTGTAAAAAAATTAAGATGATAAGAACTATGTGCTCTTTGAGCTGTGATTGCTGACTTACATTTCTAATTTATTATTTTTCTATGACAGAGCAACACAGTGCTTCAACACCCTACTTAGCAGAACTATGTACTATATATTCGAGGCATATCGAATAGTGTGCTCTTGTCTGTGATAGTCCAATGCCCAGAAAAGGCGATTTTCATTCGAGATTATATTTGATATCTATAATCTCAAATGGAAATTTAATATCATATGCAGCATGATATCGAGCGAACTTGGAAACCTGGGAGTAGTTTGTGCTGGTCCAGGTCCTTACCGATTACGCCACGACTGGCTCTCTCGCAAATTATAGGATGTGTCAATAAATATCAATGAAAAATCACAAACTTTTCTTTTAAAGACTTAACGAGATGTGAAGATAAAATTCAAGAACGTGTCACTTATATTATTATAATGTTCTTATGTTATAAATTCTGATAGAATATTAGGGGTATGATAAAAACAATCTGTAATTCTAGTAGGAATCCAATCCAAGTTCTTTTGTGAATCCAATTAGATCATCGATCATAACTTATAATCAATGATCTAATTGGCTTTTTAATAGAACTTGGATTGGATTCCTATTAGAATTACAGATTGTTTTTATCATACCCCTAATATTTTATCAGAATAGTGAAAAATATTGAATACAAGCACCGATCGATGAAAGTAGATTTTTGCAAAAAGATGTTTTGAGAACGTGTCAATAATTTTCTTCCAAATGAGAGAACGATCGTTCTAACTGGATTTCTAATAGAACTCATTTCAACCTAATATTCCATCGATAACGATAACAATATTTTTTTCAAAAAATGTATTAATTATAAATAACCACCAATTACTTAAAATAATGCCCAACATAATTTACAAGCTTTTATATATTTTTGAGATCAATTCACAGTTTTTCTCGCTCTCCAAGTTTAGAATAAGAGAAAACACAAACAGATTGAAATTTCCTGCAATTTAAGTTTTAGGCACATTGAATAAATAATTATCTTACGAAATTCAAAAATGCTGGATTAATATCCAGTTTACGTCAACCCTAAATACTATAATAGATTAATAGCGACTAATTATATAAAACGTCTAGTTGACTATAGACATCTTAATATATTAATAATAATAATATTGTTATCTTGATATAATTATCTTAATATATTCTTAATATTTATATATATTTTTGAAAAAAATGTATTAAACCTGTAGGTTGGATATTCATGGATGGTATTAAATTTCCAAAAATGTGTCTGAAATTTTAATTATAAAATTTATCTATCATGATCATTTTTTTCTTAATCTGCGATCATAAGTAAGTAATATAATATTTATAATTTAAAACATTTTGAGAATTAATATATTTTATAAAATACATTTTTTGCTCAAAAAATACTCTCATTATATATACATATATATATGTATATATAAGTATACTTATGATCGCCAATTAAGAAATAATTATCATGATAAATAAATTTTAAAATAATAAAAATCAGAAAGCATGAAATTTTATAATTGAATTTTTAGACACATTAAATAAATTATTATCTTCGGAAAGTTACAAATATAGTAGAAAATATTCAAAAATATTCAGATTCTATTAATTTTATTAAATAGTGTTTCATTATCTACAACGTTGAATTAATTGAAATTTATTGGTGGCGTAATAGGTTCGGACGTGGGCCGGCACCAATTAGTTCGGGGTTTGATGGTTTGACCAAATCCGATATCAGGCAGCATGATTTTAATGATAAATGATAAATACAATTTCTAGTAGAAATCGCCTTTCGAGGCTATAGCTGCATATAAGAAATATATGCGATAAAAATATTAGATATACATAACAATAACATAAATTAACACAAAGAATAAGAGTGGTTGACCACTGGGTTGCACTTTTGAGTGCAATATATCTAGATTAAAATGTACGTCAGAACAACAACTTATAGAACACTTAGTTTAGATTGCTGTTGAAATATAATAAACGAAAAAACTGAAATCCATAGGTTATTATGATAGTTATAACTATATTCAATAGATAATAGTGTAAGGTGACCAATGGTCATTGATCATACGTTTGCCGGATTTGCACCTTGTGTCCCGAGTTTTTTCTAAAAGCAATATTTGGCCCGGATTTAGATCTTTTGTCTCGAATTGTCCCGGATTTTCGACAAGTATAGGTCTAAATTGAATCTTTGCTCTTACTTGATAATAAAATTACAGCTAGCCATTAAATATTTGAAAATGTTATTTACAACTAATATGCTTATATGATAATTTTGATCTATTATTTTCAATATTACGAAAATTAACAAAAATTATGAAAATGAACTTCTTGACTGCCTGGAATAATTGCTAAGTAATTTTATTTCTATATAGTTATGAAGAAAATTGAATAAATTTTTATAATTTCAGTGAAAGTTGAAAAACCATACAGATACAAAAATATAAGATAAAATATAACTTATAATAGAATAATGAAGATCTTATAAGATCTTTTACACCTATAAGATCTATCTATAAGATAGTCAGTAATTCTGATTTAAAAAAAATACTCATTTAAAAAGACAGATTTTTATTGCATTTTTAAATAGTATTTGTTAATTTAAAATCATTTTAATTTTTTTTTGCATTCATGCCCCCCCCCCTCGATTTCAACTTAAAAAAATATGGTCACCTTATAATAGTGCCAACAAGCAAAATAAAGCAATACAATTCATTTCACTGAACTTTTATCGATTGCTGGCAGAGAAATTATTGCAATGCAAAAACATCAACCCTTTGAAATTAATGGTGCAGAAATCCAATAACTTAACACCTAGTGAGCAATGTTTGCTGAGGCATTAAACAAAAACACCCCGAAGGGTGAAAAGCACTCGAATGATAATAAGTTGTGTAACACTAACTTTACAATTGTTTGCCTGAATTATAATTGAAAATATTTAAATAAAAGTAATAAACATTAACATTATAAAATATAAGAAAGTACGATTAGTATATCTTTAATACATACCTTGTTAAAATTATATTACTTAATTTCAATAAATTTTATATACTTTATTTCAAACAGTTTATATGTCTTTAAAATTACACAAATATATTGCGCTGAACACCCTTCAAACTATTGAAGCAACAGATGTCCGCGCACCACCTCAGACAATATTGTAAACAAATTTTTAGCAAATAATGCGTGTCGTTATTTTAGTATAAAAATAAAGCACTTGTGTTATTTTTCAAAATTTCAATACTTTGAAAAGCCAGAATTTCTGTTATGTAAATTTTAGTGTTATAATGATCTAGTTCAGAAATTGCACTACCTCCCGCAGCCATCTTGCGTTTTGTTTTGACCCTTCGGCGGACAACGCCTGCGCATTTATTTAATATGTTAAAATAAATCGATAATATTTCTTGTGTATATTATGCAAATGGCAAATTTTATTTATAGTGGTTGCATTCTGAAATGAACTTGCATCAAATGCATGTTTTTTTCATCCATGCTTTTCTTAAATGCATTTTGTAAACCTCATGCATAACGCTTTTGATGAAAACCTATTCGTGTTAAAAAATAAATTAGTCATTTCCTTATCTATAAAAATAGTATAATAAAGCTGAAAACATTATGATTCATGATGTTTGTTTAATTTTTGAAAATCGCGATCGATCGATTAACTCGAGTTAATGCAATATCGGCAACAATAATTTGCTATCAACGTATTATAATTATAATTATAGTGTATATTTTTAATATAAACATATGAATCTATATAATTATTGCACAAATACGTAACTTACGATTGCAAAATTTCATTTGTGAATTATTTATAAACGCGAACCTTGATTACGATGCCTAAATTTTATGAAATAATACAATTTTTTTTGGATTGGTTATATAAAATATATAAAATATTGCAATTTTCCGTTCAAAATTACTATGCGCTAATGGGCTAACACAATTTCGATTAATTAATTGAAATCATTCGAATGATTTTTTATTTTTATAAAAGTCGGTTCAAAAGTTTTTAAAAAAGCGAAATTCACATCTTGTTTTGAATTTATCTTTGTGATTTAAATTACTTTTAAAATTTAATGTATATAATATAATGTATTATGTAATTAATGTATATAAATTAATTTTTGAGAATTTATTTTGATATCCGTACGTTTCGGCGATACAAAGAAACGGCTGGGCAGATCGCCGCACAAAACTGACATCGAGTTACATCAAATGGCTTTGAAATTTCTGAAATCGGTTCAGACGTTTTTGAGAAAACGTCGATCAAAGGAATAATTTTGGCAAATGCCAAAAAAAGATACAAAATTTTGCAAACTTTAATGAATTGTTAAAGTTAAACGAGAGGTCGTAACATTTCAGCATGATCTATAAGACTATGGTATCTAGCGTTAAAAAAAAATCATCAAAATCGTTGAAAAAAAAATTTTAACTCTTTATTACAAGAAAATGGCCCGGCCGATCTCTACCAAAAACTAATCAGCACGATTCCTAATCAATATCTACCGAACGGTTTTTGAATTTTCAAAATCGATTCAGAATTGCGGGCTAAAACGTAGACAAAAAATTTTTCACTTTTCTGCTATTTACAAAGAAACGGTTCGGCCGATCGTAGCGCAAAAGTCATAAACGAGATATGTCGAATGGGAAAACGTCGATTTACGGCAAAAAATCTGTTCACGCACACACACATACTTTTTCTAAATTTGGTCTCAATCGATTCAGAATGGCTTGAAACACAATTTTAAATTGTGAAAAACACATTTTTTCCAAGAAAATATATGTAACTGGAATATTTTAAAAAAAAAACAAAAGTATCTATATT